TATTCAGAATAAAAAACCAGTAATGTCCAAGCGAAATTGTAAGTTTTGTTCACGAATGTGTGTAGATGTTTTACTTTTATATATTACATGCACATATTTTTTACATGATTTATATTTATTATCATTGATGTAATAATAATAATAATAATAATAAATAATCAGAAAAAACTAAAGAAACAAATAATAATAATTATTATTAATTTTTGTGGTATAGGGATGCTCTAACTGCGGAATTGATTACGGCTTTCAATCATTGAGGCCTATGAGGGATCTAATAAGTAATGATAGCTTTCATAATACGAAAGGTGAAGGAGAAAAAAGGTGCAATGAGAGAACCAACAGAAAACATACCGGAAGTTCGCCTCGTTCTTCACAAATTACTCACGGCTTGGTCGGTGATCGAACCCGGTGTCCAACTGTTTAACCTTCGAGCGATCGCTTGGACGGTGTAAATGCCGCCTTTGAAAATAAAACTGCGCTGGGCTTTGATATTTGAACCCAGCAAAGCAGGAAGCCAGGTATTCTCTAGTTCTTTATTGAGACACAAAATAGCGGTAACATCATCTCCAAGATCCACTCAAATTTGGGCCGAATTTGCGTGAACAACGCCATCAGTTTTCGCGCTACGCGGCATAAACACCGCCCCGCGATCGCGCCTGTTTCAGTTCTTGTTCACGATAATGAAGAATATGTAAAAATATTGTTTGTATACTTTTGGAATAAAAATGCCACAAAATGTATCTCTTATGCTAATTATTGTATAAATTAAATGCATTGGTTATTCATTAGGGCAATTTGTAGGTGATTTCTGTGGATTTTAATAATCTAGATGTCTAATTCTTCTTATTATCGTTTTATTATAATATATCTAGCAATCTACATATTCTCTCCCTCCCTCTCTCCCCCTCCCTCCCTGTCTCTCTCCCCCTCCCTCCTTGTCTCTCTCCCCCCTCCCTCCACCACTCTACCATTTTCATCTTGCTTATTAAATTTTAATTTATATTTTTATTATGTCATTATATTTTAAGTATTTCTCCTCAGTGTTTGTGAAGCCAAAGTAGAAGACTGAATTTTCATATTATCTCCTTCTATTATTTCTTTTCTACATAATAACAAAAATTGTTTCAATAGTTCTTTTTTAATCTACTAAAATGGCCAGTTCATGTTATTAAACAAATTCTACATGACTGACGATCAAGAGAAGCTGTAGTATTGAGAAAAGGGTAGGATGTTCGTCGGTGGCACAAATACCACCCCGCAACCGCGCACACCACTAAATCGCGCGAACGCACCAAAGATTAAGATGCGTGGGCAAGCCCATGTGCCACGAGCCAACCACCCTCCTCTGACTGAAGTGCCCGGGGGAGTATCAAGAAGTGGAATGACAAGAGAAGGCAGAGAACGCGTCCTCCAGACGATTGCTCCCGCCTAAAGTGCAGGACATTAATCCTATTTCTTGAGCTGGGCGCTGGCAGCTTAAGGCAGGAGAACGCGGGAAGTCGGTGGGGGGGGGGG